AAAAAAAACAAACAAACAAACAAACAAACAAAAAAACATTGTTCTCTTTGTAAAAACTTACTAATATAACAGTATTCTGTATGGACTGTAAGCAGAAAACTTATTTACGGTGAGTAGCCGTTGACACAATGGACGTGTAAATCCTTTTTGCTTGGAAGACCTTTATTTGTTTCGGATGTCTAGAAAAATACCAGTAGATTCCAATAGGACTTAGAGAACTATAGAATGGTTAAAATATGATCGAATACTCTTTACAACTTGCTCAAACTTAAGGAGTTCTGTAAGATCCATGCAATGTGGACTTTGTGGGTGATAAAGGAAAGTATTTGTTATAATGAAGAAAAATTACATGAAGCTGAAATCCTGTATATTTGTTTAAATTGAGAGCTGAAGTAATTCTAAGAAAACACTCAATCATTTATGACGCGTAGACATTTATTTAAAAGAGTTTAGTAGGAACTTTTACGACACCCGGAGTCATGCTGTATTATATTACAGGAGTTTGATATCAGAGTACAGGAAAATAAGCAACGAAATCAGTGTACTGCCCATGTTCTGGAGAGAAAAAAATGAGTGTAAAAGAAAAGGGAGCAGCTTATTAGTACACTTCCTAGAATAAACATTTTTTCCTTGTATTGTGCCAACCTGGGTGCAGTGGCTATTCACAGATATGAATCATAGTGCGACTGCAGCCTGAACTCCGGCCGATCTATAACATCCCCTATCTCATCCAGCTTCCTTAGTAGTTGAACTACACGGTGTGCACGCCGTGCCCGCTTGATCTTGTCCTTCTTAAATGAAAGTATTAATTAAATTATCAACAACATGTAACCTCTACCAAGGCTTATATGTTAAAATTACATGAGCACAATTTTTTTTTTTAAATAGACAGAGTCTGCTCTGTTGCGCAGGCTAGAGTGCCGTGGTGTCAGCCTAGCTCACAGCAACTCAACTCCTAGGCGGTAAAGCAACCTCCTGCCTCAGCCTCCTCAGTAGCTTTGGACTACAGCATGTGCCCACCATACCTGGCTAAATTATTTATATATACTATATTTGTATATATATATAAATAAATAATTATTTATATCGTTATAAATAATAAATTTTATTTTATATATAGTACACACAGACACACTTTTTTTTGTCCAGATTAAAATTTTATATATATATGTACACACACACACTTTTTTTTAGTTGTCCAGATAATAAAAAATTTATTTTATTTATTATAAATAAATATATATATATATATATACAATATATATATACACACACACCACACTTTTTTTTAGTTGTCCAATAATTTCTTTCTATTTTTGATAGAGATGGTCGAGATGGGGTCTCGCTCTTGCTCAGGCTGGTCTCGAACTCCTGAACTCAAATGATTCACCTGCCTCGGCCTTCCAGAGTGCTAGGATTACAGGCATGAGCCACCACACCCAGCCTAATAAAAAATTTTAAAAAGTGTATATTCTTAACCATTACTGAAAGGACTTCCATTCTGACTGCTTTTCCTAGTGGTGGTAATAAATTTACATTGAGTCATGCATATTCTCTTCCCTGATCTCTAAGGCCATGAAAACTGATCCAATGGCTGTATCTGAAGACAAAAACAAATTGGCTTGTCATGGAATGGAACTGAAAACTCATAATAATAAACTATAGCTTTAATCACCAATAGCAGAATATGTGCCAGATCAGTTTTAATGTAAAAGGATCACATATAATTAAAATATTGGGTCTACGATTGTGTTTAGCAGGATCTTTTTCATATATTATACACTTTCTAGGTAATCACAAGCCTGGCTTCTGCCAAGAAAAGTCTATAACAATATCCACCAGATAAACAGGACAAAATGACCTCCTTAGCATCACCAACTTACCTTTTTTTAATTCAAAATGAATTTATTTCTGAAAGTACAAACTGCTTTGTTCAGCATCTCTCCTGTACTAACTAAATAAATTTTATGGAATTTTATTTGGAGCTTGTAAGTACTCCTATTGGGATTTGTTCTCTGATTTTATTCTGCAGTGTTTTGAGGTTGTTTTTACTGTCTTTTAGGTTACCTCAAATCTTTTTTATTAATTTATTTATATTTTTAGAGATGGGTACTCCTGAATTATAGTGAACTAAATTAAGAATAAATATTGTATTATCAGATACTATTTAAGCTTTGGAAAACCTTTAAAACAGCAAAAATTTTTCCTCTGACCAAAAAAACAAATGCAGCTAGTACTTTGAAAGTGTACTACTTCAGAAATAACAGCAACTCCAAATTAGGATTGTTGAGTTGCTGGGATACAGGCATGCGCCACCATGCCCGGCTAATTTTTCTATATATATTAGTTTGCCAATAATTTCTTTCTATTTATAGTAGAGACGGGTCTGGTCTTGCTCAGGGTGTTTCGAACTCCTGACCTCGAGCAATCGCCCGCTTGGCCTCCCAGAGTGCTAGGATTACAGGCGTGAGCGCCACGCCCTGCCTCATGAGGATATTCTTAATTAAAAATTTCTCAACTGAAAGTTGTCCATGTACATCTTCTATATTGTTTGGTTGCTCTATGTACACTTTCTTCCCTATACTAAGAATTAGCTTTAAAGTATTTCCATTCCTAGGACTACGAAAAATACCTAAATGAAAAGTAACAATGATGACCCAAACTATGTATTAATAAAAAGGAGACATCAAGATGCCCTCTTCTGGACATTCTGAATAATGGCACTGAATGGACCAGGGCTTATTAGGCCACTGACCATTTCAGCACCCATGGAGTCATAAACCAAAATCACAACATGTTAGATAACATTCACATGGACCTACCTATGGGATCTGTTTGTTGAAGTAGCAATAAACCTAGTTACAAAGTAGTTCTTTCACCTAATGATAAATCCTTAAGCATACTTTTTAATAAAAGTAACATACCAAACAGTATTAAATATAAAAACACTTTCTCTCCAAGTTTACTAGGGCTTAAAAAAACAAAAAACAAAAAAAAACAAACAAAAAAAACAAACAAACAAAAAAACACTTTCTCTTGTAAAATACTTACTTATAAACAGTATTCTGTGGACTGTGAAGCCAGAACTATTTACGGTGATAGCCTTGACCAACAATGGACGTGTACAATTCTTTTTGTTTGGAAGACTTTAGTTCTTGTTCAGATGTCTAAAAAATACCAGTAATTTCCAATAACTTAATAGAACTATAAGATATGGTATAAAATATGAATCGAATACTTTTACAACTGCTCTAAACTTAAAGTTCTAAGATCCATCAATGTGGACTTTTTTGGTGATAAAGGAAATATTTGTTATATAAGAAAATTACATGAAGCTGAAAATCTGTATATTTTGTTTATATGAGAGCTGAAGTAATTCTAAGAAAACACTCAATTCATTTAGGACCTAACAATTATTAAAATGATTTAGTTAGAAAATTACAACCCGGATCATGCTGTATTATATTACAGGAGTTTGATATCAGAGTAAGGAAAATAAGCTAAAATGCAGTGTACTGGCCCATGTTCTGGAGGAAAAAAAATGTAGTGTAAAAGAAAAGGGAGGCAGCTATTAATACACTCCTAAAATACAGACATTTTCTTTTTTTTATTGCCCAACCTGGGTTGCAGTGGCTATTCACGATATGATCATAGTGCACTGCAGCCTGAACTCCTGGCCGATCTATAACATCCCCCTATCTCATCCCAGCTTCCTTAGTAGTTGAGACTACAGGTGTGCACCGCCGTGCCAGCTTGATCTTGTCCTTCTTAAATGAAAGTATTAATTAAATTATCAACAACATGTAACCTCTACCAAGCTCTATATGTTAAAATTTACATGAGCACAATTTTTTTTTTTTAAATAGACAGAGTCTGGCTCTGTTGCCCAGGCTAGAGTGCCGTGGTGTCAGCCTAGCTCACAGCAACCTCAAACTCCTAGGCTAAAGCAATCCTCCTGCCTCAGCTCCTCAGTAGCTGGGACTACAGGCATGTGCCACCATACCTGGCTAAATTTATTTATATATATATATTATTAATATATATATAAATAAATATTATTATTTATATATATATAAATAATAAATTTTATTATATATATGTACACACAGACACACTTTTTTAGTTGTCCAGATAAAATTTTATATATATATGTACACACACACACTTTTTTTTAGTTGTCCAGATAATAAATTTATTTTATTATTATTATAAATAATATATAATATATATATACACATATATATATACACACACACACTTTTTTTAGTTTCAGATAATTTCTTCTATTTTTAGTAGGTAATAGAGATGGAAGTCTCACTAAGTTGCCCAGGCTGCAATGCAGTGGTTATTCACAGGTGTAATCATACAGCCTTCAACTCTTGGGCTCAAAAGTGATCCTCCTGCCTTGGCTCCTGAGTAGCCGGGACTACAGGTGCATGTTACTGCATCTGGCTATTCTGATTGCTTTTAATCAACTGCAGTAAAACATAACTTGTTAACAGGAAAAACAAAAAACCCTAACTCCATGATTTTGTTTCACATTTTCTACAGTAAACATGTATTTCTACTATAATCAAAGAAAAAATGCTGAGATGAGACATATGAGTTCAAATGTGCCATGTGTGAAAAGCATAATTTCTTATATATAATGATGTTTGTTTTGTTATTATTAGATAAGCTCCCCTGATTTCTACAGATTCACATAATTTTTAATTTATACTAGGAAACTAGAAATATATAGAACTTTTTACAAAGTATTATGCTTCATGTCAATAAAAAGTTACTTTCCACTCTTCTCTCTCAAGGATCTCTCCTCATTTTAGCCTTTATTTCTCTCTCCCAGAAATACTTAGAAATATAAATACTTTCCTATTATTCAAAACAAGAGAATCTTGGAAATTCAGGCTGAAGATTTTAGGAATTTATCTAAAGGAAAAAGAGGCTTAATAAAGGAAGTCCTAAAATGATTTTGCCAAGGGAGGTCACAAGGATTAGAATACCTGCAAGTTTCACTGCTTTCGCTGCTTTCTGTGTTCCCACCTAATTGATTACTATTTTTAGACCCATTTTCCTGCTTTGGATCTTGCTGTTCTTCAGGTAGCAGCAACAAGGCATTTCTGAGACAAATGGCTGCAAACTCCATACTGGCTACAGGAATGGCTGAAGACTGTCCATCACTTAAAAAATAAAACCAAATTAACTAAGCAGAGAGCATAAAAAAATAAAACTTTTCTATTATCAGGAATAAAACCAATTGATCATAAATGAAAACTTTGCCTTCTGATAGGTAGAAATTTTAATATAAGAAGTTATAAAACAATGCTAAATAATGCAAATCCTGAATATTATATATAGGTTGTAAACAGTAAAATTAATGTATTGCATTAAAATTAATGTATATACATTACATACATTGTGTCTCTATGAATGAGACCAAGGATGCGAGACAACTTTAAGTATATCTTACGTTAATGTTAACGTAATAGAAGAACTGCAGACAAGGAAAGTTGTAACGAAGGCCAGGATAGGTAGAGTAAGAATGGGAAGAGAGGGGAAAAAAAACAGATTTTCACATTTGAGCTTTGCTTTGTGATTTGTGCTTTCAAAAATGCCTTTATACATTTTGAAACAGCAGTATTCTCTTTTATCTTATCATTTTGCTGATATTTTATATTTAATATAACTTTCTGTTGGTTTGATATAACAAACTGAATCATCTTTATTAGGAAAAAATAAAATTTTGAAAACAAGTAACAACTTTGAAATTGTAGGAAAATGGTGCTTTATCATAATAGTCTTTTAAAATATTCCTGAATTATAGTTGAACTAAATTAAGAATAAAATATTGTATTATCAGATACTATTTAAGCTTTGGAAAACCTTTAAAACAGCAGAAAACAATTTTCTTCTCTGACCAAAAAAACAAATGCAGCTAGTACTTTGTAAAGTGTACTACTTCAGAAATAACAGCAACTCCAAATTAGGATTTTTTGAGTTGCTGGGACTACAGGCATGCGCCACCATGCCCGGCTAATTTTTTCTATATATATTAGTTGGCCAATTAATTTCTTTCTATTTATAGTAGAGACGGGGTCTGGCTCTTGCTCAGGCTGGTTTCGAACTCCTGACCTCGAGCAATCCGCCCGCCTTGGCCTCCCAGAGTGCTAGGATTACAGGCGTGAGCTGCCACGCCCTGCCTCATAAGGATATTCTTAATTAAAAATTCTTCAACTGAAAGTTGTCCATGTAACATCTATATTGCTTTGGTTGCTCTATGTACACTTTCTTCTCCTAATACTAAGAATTAGCTTTAAAGTATTTCCATTCCTAGGACTACGAAAATACCTAAATGAAAGTAACAATGATGACCCAAACTATGTATAATAAAAAGGAGACATCAAGATGCCCTCTTCTGGACATTCTGAATAATGGCACTGAATGGACCAGGGTTATTAGGCCACTGACCATTTCAGCACCATGACGTCATAACCAAAATCACAAATGTTAGATAACATTCACTATGGACCTACCTATGGGGATCTGTTTGTGAAGTAGCAATAAACCTAGTTACAAATAGTTCTTTCACCTAATGATAATCCTAAGCATACTTTTATACTAAGTAACATACCAAACAGTATTAAATATAAAACACTTTCCTCCAAGTTATACTGAGGGCTTAAAAAAACAAAAAACAAAAAAAAAACAAACAAAAACAAACAACAAAAAAACACTTTCTTTGTAAATACTTACTTATAAACAGTATTCTGTATGGACTGTGAAGCCAGAACTATTTTACGGTGATAGCCTTGACCAACAATGGACTGTACAATTCCTTTTTTGCTTGGAAGACCTTTAGTTTCTTGTTCAGATGTCTAAAAAATACCAGTAATTTCCAATAACTAAGAGAACTATAAGATATGGTATAAAATATGATCGAATACCTTTTACAACTGCTCTAAACTTAAAGTTCTTAAGATCCATCAATGTGGACTTTTTTGGTGATAAAGGAAATATTTGTTATAAGAAAAATTACATGAAGCTGAAAATCTGTATATTTTGTTAATATGAGAGCTGAAGTAATTCTAAGAAAACACTCAATTCATTTATGACCTAACAATTTATTTAAAATGATTTAGTTAGAACTTTTAACACCCGGTATCATGCTGTATTATATTACAGGAGTTTGATATCAGAGTAAGGAAAATAAGCTAAATGCAGTGTACTGGCCATGTTCTGGAGGAAAAAAAAATGTAGTGTAAAAGAAAAGGGAGGCAGCTATTTAATACACTTCCTAAAATACAGACATTTTCTTTCTTTTTTATTGCCCAACCTGGGTTGCAGTGGCTATTCACAGATATGATCATAGTGCACTGCAGCCTGAACTCCTGGCCCGATCTATAACATTCCCCTATCTCATCCCAGCTTCCTTAGTAGTTGAGACTACAGGTGTGCACCGCCGTGCCCAGCTTGATCTTGTCCTTCTTAATGAAAGTATTAATTAAATTATCAACAACATGTAACCTCTACCAAGCTTATATTGTAAAATTTACATGAGCACAATTTTTTTTTTTAAAATAGACAGAGTCTGGCTCTGTTGCCCAGGCTAGAGTGCCGTGGTGTCAGCCTAGCTCACAGCAACCTCAAACTCCTAGGCTAAAGCAATCCTCCTGCCTCAGCCTCCTCAGTAGCTGGGACTACAGGCATGTGCCACCATACCCGGCTAAATTTATTTATATATATATATTATTTATATTATATAAATAAATATATATTATATATATATATATAAATAATTTTATTTATATATATGTACACACAGACACACTTTTTTAGTTGTCAGATAAAATTTTATATATATATGTACACACACACACTTTTTTTTAGTTGTCCAGATAATAAAAATTTATTTTATTATATATAATAAATTATATATAATATATATATAACATATATATATACACACACACACACTTTTTTTAGTTGTCCAGATAATTTCTTTCTATTTTTAGTAGAGATGGGGTCTCGCTCTTGCTCAGTGGGTCTCGAATTCCTGAACTCAAATAATCACCTGCCTCGGCCTTCCAGAGTGCTAGGATTACAGGCGTGAGCCACCACGCCCAGCCTAATAAAAAATTTTAAAAGTGTATATTCTTAACCATTACTGAAAGGACTTCATTCTGACTGCTTTTCCTAGTGGTGGAATAAATTTACATTGAGTCATGCATATTCTCTTCCCTGATCCCTAAGGCCATGAAAACTGATCCAATGGCTGTATCTGAAGACAAAACAATTGGCTTGTCATGGAATGGAACTGAAAACTCATAATAATAAACTATAGCTTTAATCACCAATAGCAGAATATGTGCCAGATCAGTTTTAATGTAAAAGGATCACATATAATTAAAATATTGGGTCTACGATTGTTTTAGCAGGATCTTTTTCATATATTATACACTTTCTAGGTAATCACAAGCCTGGCTTCTGCCAAGAAAAGTCTATAACAACATCCACCAGATAAACAGGACAAAATGACCTCCTTAGCATCACCAACTTACCTTTTTTTAATTCAAAATGAATTCATTTCTGAAAGTACAAACTGCTTTGTTCAGCATCTCTCCTGTACTAACTAAATAAATTTTATGGAATTTTATTTGGAGCTTGTAAGTACTCCTATTGGGATTTGTTCTCTGATTTTATTCTGCAGTGTTTGAGGTTGTTTTACTGTCTTTTAGGTTACCTCAAATCTTTTTTATTAATTTATTTATATTTTTAGAGATGGGGTATTGCTCTATCACCCAAGCTGGAATGCAGTGGCACAATCATAGCTCACTGCAACCTCAAACTCCTGGGGCTCAAGTGATTTTCCTGCCTTAGTTTCCCAGGTAGCTGGGACAACAGGCATGCACCACCACGCTTGGCTAATTTTTTTTAGGTTTTGTAGAGGTCTTCCTGGTCTCGAACTCCTGGCCTCAAGCAATCTTCCTGTCTTGGCTTCCCAAAGTGCTGGGATTACAGGCGTGAGCTGACAAACCTTTTTTAGAAGGAGCAAAAGCAAAAACAAAGATAGATAATTATTTTATGGTAAGTTCCTACTAGCAGCACAATTGTATGTTCTGATATCCACCAATTATGGCAACCAAAAGTCATCCTTGGGCTGGTATGGTGGCTCACGCCTGTAATCCTAGCACTCCGGGAGCTGAAGCAGGCGGATTGCTCAAGGCCAGGAGTTCGAAACCAGCCTGAGCAAAAGCGGGACCCTCTCTCTACTAAAAATAGAAAGAATTAGCCAGGCACGGTGGTGCATGCCTGTAGTCCCAGCTACTCGGGAGGCTGAGGCAGAAGGATGGCTTGAGCCCAGGAGTTTGAGGTTGCTGTGAGCTAGGCTGACGCCACGGCACTCACTCTAGCCTGGGCAACAAAGACTGTCTCAAAAAAAAAAAAAGTCATCCTTACCATTTAAAAAAAAATTATAAATTTAGAACTTTCTAGAAAAATATGGAGAGAAGGGGAGGAGTCTTTGTAAGCCCAATGATATCTATAGAACAAAGACAATCCTAAAAGTACTATTTCTAAAAATAAGTAATTTAAAAAGAAAATATTAAACTTTACTATATTCTCTAGTTCCAGAAGAAGTAACCCCCTGGTTTCTAGACATTTTCACAAAAGGCCCTCAATATTTAAATTCATGAATGGATTAAAGAGAATAAGCAATTTCTAGAGGTCTTTTTATTTTTAAAAAGTATAAACTCTACCTAGAATTATTTATCAGTTAACAATTATCTGATAAGAGGCCAGCTGTCGTGGCTCATGCCTGTAATTCTAGCACTTTGGGAGGCTGAGGCAGGAGGACTGTTTGAGGCCAGAAGTTTGAGACCAGGCTAAGCAAGAGTGAGACGCCATCTCCACAAAAAAATAGAAAAATTAACCTGGCATGCTGGAGTGTACCTATAGTGCCAGCTACTTAGGAGGCTGAGGCAGGAGGATCACTTGAGCCCAGGAGTTGGAGGCTGTAGTGAGCTATGATGGTGCCCCTGCACTATATAGCCAGTACCACAGAGTGCGATCCAGTCTCAAAACCAACCAACCAAACAAAAAAATCCAGTAAGAAAGTTGTCTTTTAAAAGCAAAGTACAATTAAATAAATCATTAAAGCCTTTCAAAGACATCACTCATCTCTTCCTCTAAGGTGTACTCAAATCATAAATTACTTATGTGCCACATGTAAAAACTGCCAGGCAAATATACCTATTTAACCTCATTAGCTCTTGTAGTTGTTTCTCAGCAAGTGCTGTTCAGTAGGAGAGCCCTAACATCTTATATCATCTATGACAGGTAAAACCTCAGGAAGCCATACCTCCCCAGTCTTCACATATCCAAAGAGCACAGCAAGGGCAGGGGTAGATGGCAGATGGAGGATATAGACATCGGGTAATTCTGATACAAATTCTTTCCCCTACCTCCCACTGACCCCTCCCAACCTGAGATTCAAAAGGCTTCCACCAGCTGCCATGTGTAGATAATCTAAGCATGGAAGTCCACACAAACCGGCCTATTCTCATAGCCACTATGGTCTATTATTGTATATTAGAGAAAAACAGCCTGGCATTCCATAAGCTCTGTTATCATTTACTGAAACCAAAGTAAGATCCCCAGGAATTGAAGGAAATACAGTTTAACGCAGTGTCCTTTCAACACTGCATCAGTACTTCTCTAATCACCTGGTACACACCCCATTCTAATGCCAGCAGATGGCATGGGCCCTGCCCCAGCCACTAGCAAATCACTGTTTCAACAGACATGACCTTCTCATTGACTGCAACTCTTTAATGTTGCCATACTTACCAAGGGCCAGAATGTTAACAATTTTTTGAAACTAAATTTTTTTCCCAATGATTAAAAAATAGAAGACTATCTTTACAAATTCACTAAGGGTTAAAAAGGCAATGATGTCCTATATGTTCCCAAATATTTTTTGCTTTCCATATAATAATAAGTGTGTGTGTGGGGAAGATGAGCTATAAAAAGATATCCAAAGCCGTACTCACCCCCTTATTGGCAGCAATGCAGCATTCAGCCAGCCGTAGCCAGAGGCGAGGATTTGCATGATAAACCTGAACTGCTTCAATCAAACACTCAAAGGCAGCAAGAGGCCTTCCAATGTGAAGAAGCTGAATTCCACAGTTATATAGCAACTCATACCTCTTATTGGTTAGTAATGTACACATGGGTCTTCCAGAAAATTTTTTGCCTAGTGATAAAAATCAGGTAAGAATAAATAATTAGATTTAAAGCAACAGTTTAACATTCAAAACATTTATTCCACTAAGTACTTAAGTGCTACCATGTTTAATACCAAAAACCCTGATTTGAAGTTGTAATAGCTCTCACCAACGGTGGTCTCCATCCTTAACCCCACAAATATTCTCCAGAGTCATCTCAGTTGTCTATGCTGGCAGGGCCAGAGATGTATGTCTCTTCTCATTTGCCAGCTTCTCAGGCAACAATGTTCCAGGAAGGCAAAGATAAGAGATAGGACCCACTCTCACTCCTTTGAACCTTACACCACTTTCCACATTTTTAGAGTCTGCAAAAGTTTCCATTTTTAAAATTTTTGGCTTGGTTAACCATTTTGTCAGGTACTATCACTTATTCAATGTTTCACAGTCCATAAATAAAATAAGACGTGTGATTTGGAATACATTTTTCATCAATTAATTTAAGGAGGTTTTAATTATTTTAAAAAGCTAAATAATTCTTGATATTGAGCATTTCAGATCAAGGATCCACATGACTATTAAAGGATAAATCTCAGGAATTTGGAGCAATATATACTAAAAATCCCTAGAGCCAAACTTGTTGGGCAGGATCAGTGTTAACTGTATGTAGGTCTACATGGCATGTATTTTGACCACATGCTTGCTCTGTAAATCATGCTTTTCTCAAACAGTAAAATACGAACTGTCCCCCAGCACTGGGATTACCTGGATCAGTGCTACCTGCACTGAGCTGAGCACAGACATTGTCATTCTCCTGCAGAGCCTTTTTAAAGTAGAAAATTCCCAAATTGTGCTTGCTCATGGCAAAATGGATGCAACCAAGATTATTCCAGAACATGCATCTCAAACATTCACCTGAGGAAAAAAATAAGACAGAGTCTGGCTCTGTTGCCCAGGCTAGAGTGCCGTGGTGTCAGCTAGCTCACAGCAACCTCAAACTCCTAGGCTAAAGCAATCCTCCTGCTCAGCCTCCTCAGTAGCTGGGACTACAGGCATGTGCCACCATACCTGGCTAATTTATTTATATATATATATTATTTATATTATATAAATAAATATATATTATTATATATATATAAATAATTTATTTATATATATGTACACACAGACACACTTTTTTAGTTGTCCAGATAAAATTTTATATATATATGTACACACACACACTTTTTTTTAGTTGTCCAGATAATAAAAATTTTTTTATTATATATAAAAATTATATATATATATACAAATATATATACACACACACACACTTTTTTTTAGTTGTCCAGATAATTCTTTCTATTTTTAGTAGAGATGGGTCTCGCTCTTGCTCAGCTGGTCTCGAATTCCTGAACTCAAATAATCACCTGCCTCGGCCTTCCAGAGTGCTAGGATTACAGCGTGAGCCACCACGCCCAGCCTAATAAAAAATTTTAAAAAGTGTATATTCTTAACCATTACTGAAAGGACTTCCATTCTGACTGCTTTCTAGTGGTGGTAATAAATTTACATTGAGTCATGCATATTCTCTTCCCTGATCCCTAAGGCCATGAAAACTGATCCAATGGCTGTATCTGAAGACAAAACAATTGGCTTGTCATGGAATGGAACTGAAAACTCATAATAATAAACTATAGCTTTAATCACCAATAGCAGAATATGTGCCAGATCAGTTTTATGTAAAAGGATCACATATAATTAAAATATTGGGTCTACGATTGTGTTTAGCAGGATCTTTTCATATATTATACACTTTCTAGGTAATCACAAGCCTGGCTTCTGCCAAGAAAAGTCTATAACAACATCCACCAGATAAACAGGACAAAATGACCTCCTTAGCATCACCAACTTACCTTTTTTTAATTCAAATGAATTCATTTCTGAAAGTACAAACTGCTTGTTCAGCATCTCTCCTGTACTAACTAAATAAATTTTATGGAATTTCATTTGGAGCTTGTAAGTACTCCTATTGGGATTTGTTCTCTGATTTTATTCTGCAGTGTTTTGAGGTTGTTTTACTGCTTTTAGGTTACCTCAAATCTTTTTATTAATTTATTTATATTTTTAGAGATGGGGTATTGCTCTATCACCCAAGCTGGAATGCAGTGGCACAATCATAGCTCACTGCAACCTCAAACTCCTGGGCTCAAGTGATTTTCCTGCCTTAGCTTCCCAGGTAGCTGGGACAACAGGCATGCACCACCACGCTTGGCTAATTTTTTTTAGGTTTTGTAGAGGTCTTCCTGGTCTCGAACTCCTGGCCTCAAGCAATCTTCCTGTCTTGGCTTCCCAAAGTGCTGGGATTACAGGCGTGAGCTGACAAACCTTTTTTAGAAGGAGCAAAAGCAAAAACAAAGATAGATAATTATTTATGGTAAGTTCCTACTAGCAGCACAGATTGTATGTGTTCTGATATCCACCAATTATGGCAACCAAAAGTCATCCTTGGGCTGGGTATGGTGGCTCACGCCTGTAATCCTAGCACTCTGGGAGCCGAGGCAGGCGGATTGCTCAAGGCCAGGAGTTCGAAACCAGCCTGAGCAAAAGCGGGACCCTCTCTCTACTAAAAATAGAAAGAATTAGCCAGGCACGGTGGTGCATGCCTGTAGTCCCAGCTACTCGGGAGGCTGAGGCAGAAGGATGGCTTGAGCCCAGGAGTTTGAGGTTGCTGTGAGCTAGGCTGACGCCACGGCACTCACTCTAGCCTGGGCAACAAAGACTGTCTCAAAAAAAAAAAAAAGTCATCCTTACCATTTAAAAAAAAATTATAAATTTAGAACTTTCTAGAAAAATATGGAGAGAAAGGGAGGAGTCTTTGTAAGCCCAATGATATCTATAGAACAAAGACAATCCTAAAAGTACTATTTCTAAAAATAAGTAATTTAAAAAGAAAATATTAAACTTACTATATTCTCTAGTTCCAGAAGAAGTAACCCCCTGGTTCTAGACATTTTCACAAAAGGCCCTCAATATTTAAATTCATGAATGGATTAAAGAGATAAGCAATTTCTAGAGTCTTTTTATTTTAAAAAGTATAAACTCTACCTAGAATTATTTATCAGTTAACAATTATCTGATAAGAGGCAGCTGTCGTGGCTCTAATAAAAAGGAGACATCAAGATGCCCTCTTCTGGACATTCTGAATAATGGCACTGAATGGACCAGGGCTTATTAGGCCACTGACCATTTCAGCACCCATGGACGTTATAAACCCAAATCACAACATGTTAGATAACATTCACTATGGACCTACCTATGGGGATCTGTTTGTTGAAGTAGCAATAAAACCTAGTTACAAAGTAGTTCTTTCACCTAATGATAAATCCTAAGCATACTTTTATACATAAGTAACATACCAAACAGTATTAAATATAAAAACACTTTCTCTTTGTAAAATACTTACTTATAAACAGTATTCTGTATGGACTGTGAAGCCAGAACTATTTTACGGTGATAGCCTTGACCAACAATGGACTGTACAATTCCTTTTTTGCTTGGAAGACCTTTAGTTTCTTGTTCAGATGTCTAAAAAATACCAGTAATTTCCAATAAACTTAAGAGAACTGTAAGATATGGTATAAAATATGATCGAATACCTTTTAAAACTGCTCTAAACTTAAAGTTCTTAAGATCCATCAATGTGGACTTTTTTGGTGATAAAGGAAATATCTGTTATTATAAGAAAAATTACATGAAGCTGAAAATCTGTATATTTTGTTAATATGAGAGCTGAAGTAATTCTAAGAAAACACTCAATTCATTTATGACCTAACAATTTATTTAAAATGATTTAGTTAGAACTTTTACACACCTGGTATCATGCTGTATTATATTACAGGAGTTTGATATCAGAGTAAGGAAAATAAGCTAAAATGCAGTGTACTGGCCCATGTTCTGGAGGAAAAAAAAATGTAGTGTAAAAGAAAAGGGAGGTAGCTATTTAATACACTTCCTAAAATACAGACATTTTCTTTTCTTTTATTGCCCAACCTGGGTTGCAGTGGCTATTCACAGATATCATAGTGCACTGCAGCCTTGAACTCCTGGCCCGATCTATAACACCCCCCTATCTCGTCCCAGCTTCCTTAGTAGTTGAGACTACAGGTGTACACCGCCGTGCCCAGCTTGATCTTGTCCTTCTTAAATGAAAGTATTAATTAAATTATCAACAACATGTAACCTCTACCAAGCTCTATATGTTAAAATTTACATGAGCACAATTTTTTTTTTAAAATAGACAGAGTCTGGCTCTGTTGCCCAGGCTAGAGTGCCGTGGTGTCAGCCTAGCTCACAGCAACCTCAAACTCCTAGGCTAAAGCAATCCTCCTGCCTCAGCCTCCTCAATAGCTGGGACTACAGGCATGTGCCACCATACCCGGCTAAATTTATTTATATATAAATAAATATATATTATTTATATATATATAATAATTATATATATTATATTATATAAATAATAATTTTATTTATATTATATGTACACACAGACACACTTTTTTTTTTTTTTTTTTTTTGAGACAGAGTCTCGCCTTGTTGACCAGGCTAGAGTGAGTGCCATGGCGTCAGCCTAGCTCACAGCAACCTCAAACTCCCGGGGCTCAAGCAATCCTTCTGCCAGCCTCCAAGGTAGCTGGGACTACAGACATGTGCCACCATGCCCGGCTAATTTTCTAGTATATATTAGTTGGGCCAATTAATTTCTTTCTATTTTTTTATAGTAGAGACGGGTTTTGCTCTTGCTCAGGCTGGTTTCGAACTCTGACCTCGAGCAATCCGCCCGCTCAGCCTCCCGAGGCTAGGATTACAGGCGTGAGCCACCGCGCCCGGCTAGACACACTTTTTTTAGTTGTCCAGATAAATTTTTATATATATATATGTACACACACACACTTTTTTTTAGTTGTCCAGATAATAAAAAAATTTTTTTATTTATATATAAATAATTATATATATATACATATATACACACACACACACACACTTTTTTTTTTAGTTGTCCAGATAATTTCTTTCTATTTTTAGTAGAGATGGGGTCTCGCTCTTGCTCAGGCTGGTCTCGAACTCTGAACTCAAATATTCACCTGCCTCGGCCTTCCAGAGTGCTAGGATTACAGGCTGAGCCACCACGCCCAGCTAATAAAAAATTTTAAAAAGTTATATTCTTAACCATTACTGAAAGGACTTCCTGACTGCTTTTCCTAGTGGTGGTAATAAATTTACATTGAGTCATGCATATTCTCTTCCCTGATCCCTAAGGCCATGAAAACTGATCCAATGGCTGTATCTGAAGACAAACAAATTGGGTTGTCATGGAATGGAACTGAAAACTCATAATAATAAACTATAGCTTTAATCACCAATAGCAGAATATGTGCAGATCAGTTTTATGTAAAAGGATCACATATAATTAAAATATTGGGTCTACGATTGTGTTTAGCAGGATCTTTTTCATATATTATACCATTTCTAGGTAATCACAGCCTGGCTTCTGCCAAGAAAAGTCTATACAACATCCACCAGATAAACAGGACAAATGACCTCCTTAGCATCACCAACTTACCTTTTTTAATTCAAAATGAATTCATTTCTGAAAGTACAAACTGCTTGTTCAGCATCTCTCCTGTACTAACTAAATAAATTTTAGGATTATTTGGAGCTTGTAAGTACTCCTATTTGGATTTTGTCTCTGATTTTATTCTGCAGTGTTTTGAGGTTGTTTTTACTGTTTTTAGGTTACCTCAAATCTTTTTTAATTATTTATATTTTAGAGATGGGGTATTGCTCTATCACCCAAGCTGGAATGCAGTGGCACAATCATAGCTCACTGCAACCTCAAACTCCTGGGCTCAAGTGATTTTCCTGCCTTAGTTTCCAGGTAGCTGGACAACAGGCATGCCACCACGCATTGGCTAATTTTTTTTATTTGTAGAGGTCTTCCTGTCTCGAACTCCTGGCCTCAAGCAATCTTCTGTTCTTGGCTTCCCAAGTGCTGGGATTACAGGTGTGAGCTGACAAACCTTTTTAGAAGGAGCAAAAGCAAAACAAAGATAGATAATTATTATGGTAGTTTCCTACTAGCAGCACAGATTGTATGTGTTCTGATATCCACCAATTATGGCAACCAAAAGTCATCCTTGGGCTGGGTATGGTGGCTCACGCCTGTAATCCTAGCACTCGGAGCTGAGCAGGCGGTTGCTCAAGGCCAGGAGTTCGAAACCAGCCTGAGCAAAAGCGGGACCCTCTCTCTACTAAAAATAGAAAGAATTAGCCAGGCACGGTGGTGCATGCCTGTAGTCCCAGCTACTCGGGAGGCTGAGGCAGAAGGATGGCTTGAGCCCAGGAGTTTGAGGTTGCTGTGAGCTAGGCTGACGCCACGGCACTCACTCTAGCCTGGGCAACAAAGACTGTCTCAAAAAAAAAAAAAAGTCATCCTTACCATTTAAAAAAAAATTATAAATTTAGAACTTTCTAGAAAAATATGGAGAGAAGGGGAGGAGTCTTTGTAAGCCCAATGATATCTATAGAACAAAGACAATCCTAAAAGTACTATTTCTAAAAATAAGTAATTTAAAAAGAAAATATTAAACTTTACTATATTCTCTAGTTCAGAAGAAGTAACTCCCCTTTTTTAGACATTTTCACAAAGGCCCTCATATTTAAATTCATGAATGGATTAAAGAGAATAAGCAATTTCTAGAGGTCTTTTTATTTTTAAAAAGTATAAACTCTACCTAGAATTATTTATCAGTTAACAATTATCTGATAAGAGGCAGCTGTCGTGGTCATGCCTGTAATTCTAGCACTTTGGGAGGCTGAGGCAGGAGACTGTTTGAGGCCAGAAGTTTGAGGACCAGGGCTAAGCAAGAGTGAGACCCATCTCCACAAAAAAATAGAAAATTAACCCGGCATGCTGGAGTGTACTATAGTGCCAGCTACTTGGAGGCTGGGCAGGAGATCACTTGAGCCCAGGAGTTGGAGGCTGTAGTGAGCTATGATGGTGCCTGCACTATATAGCCAGTACCACAGAGTGCGATCCAGTCTCAAAACAACCACAAACAAAAATCCAGTAAGAAAGTTGTCTTTTAAAAGCAAAGTACAATTAAATAAATATTAAGCCTTTCAAAGACATCACTCATCTCTTCTCTAAGGTGTACTCAAATCATAATTACTTATGTGCCACATGTAAAACTGCCAGGCAAATATACCTATTTAACCTCATTAGCTCTGTAGTTGTTTCTAGCAAGTGCTGTTCAGTAGGAGAGCCCTAACATCTTATATCATCTATGACAGGTAAAACTCAGGAAGCCATACCCCCCAGTCTTCACATATCCAAAGAGCACAGCAAGGGCAGGGTGATGGCAGATGGGGATATAACATCGGTAATTCTGATACAAATTCTTTCCCTACCTCCCACTGACCCCTCCAACCTGAGATTCAAAAGCTTCACCAGCTGCCATGTGTAGATAATCTAAGCATGGAAGTCACACAACGGCCTATTCTCATAGCCACTATGCTATTATTGTATATTAGAGATAAACAGCCTGGCATTCCATAAGCTCTGTTTTATTACTGAAACCAAAGTAAGATCCCCAGGAACTGAAGAAATACAGTTTAACGCAGTGTCCTTTCAACACTGCATCAGTACTTCTCTAATCACCTGGTACACACCCCATTCTAATGCCAGCAGATGGCATGGGCCTGCCCAGCCACTAGCAAATCACTGTTTCAACAGACATGACTTCTCGTTGACTGCAATCTTTAATGTTGCCATACTTACCAAGGCCAGAATGTTAACAATTTTTTGAAACTAAATTTTTTCCCAATGATTAAAAAATAGAAGACTATCTTTACAATTCACTAAGGTTAAAAAGGCAATGATGTCCTATATGTTCCAATATTTTTTGCTTTCCATATAATAATAAGTTGTGTGGAAGATGAGCTATAAAAAGATATCCAAGCTACTCACCCCTTATTGCAGCAATGCAGCATTCAGCCAGCCGTAGCCAGAGGCGGAGATTTGCATGATAAACCGAACTGCTTCAATCAAACACTCAAAGGCAGCAAGAGCTTCAATGTGAAGAAGCTGAATTCCACAGTTATATAGCAACTCATACCTCTTATTGGTTAGTAATGTACACATGGGTCTTCCAGAAAATTTTTTGCCTAGTATAAAAATCAGGTAAGAATAAATAATTAGATTTAAAGCAACAGTTTAACATTCAAAACATTTATTCCACTAAGTACTTAAGTGCTACCATGTTTAATACCAAAAACCCTGATTTGAAGTTGTAATAGCTCTCACCAACGGTGGTCTCCATCCTTAACCCCACAAATATTCTCCAGAGTCATCTCAGTTGTCTATGCTGGCAGGGCCAGAGATGTATGTCTCTTCTCATTTGCCAGCTTCTCAGGCAACAATGTTCCAGGAAGGCAAAGATAAGAGATAGGACCCATCTCACTCCTTGAACCTTACACCCTTTCCACATTTTTAGAGTCTGCAAAAGTTTCATTTTTAAAATGTTTGGCTTGGTTAACCATTTTGTCAGGTACTATCACTTATTCAATGTTTCACAGTCCATAAATAAAATAAGACGTGTGATTTGGAATACATTTTTCATCAATTAATTTAAGGAGGTTTTAATTATTTTAAAAAGCTAAATAATTCTTGATATGAGCATTTCAGATCAAGGATCCACATGACTATTAAAGGATAAATCTCAGGAATTGGAGCAATATATACTAAAATCCCTAGAGCCAAACTTGTTTGGCAGGATCAGTGTTAACTGTATGTAGGTCTACATGGCATGTATTTTGACCAGATGCTTGCTCTGTAAATCATGCTTTTCTCAAATAGTAAAATACAAACTGTCCCCCAGCACTGGGATTACCTGGATCAGTGCTACCTGCACTGAGCTGAGCACAGACATTGTCATTCTCCTGCAGAGCCTTTTTAAAGTAGAAAATTCCCAAATTGTGCTTGCTCATGGCAAAATGGATGCAACCAAGATTATTCCAGAACATGCATCTCAAACATTCACCTGAGGAAAATACAAGCAAATTTGTTTGCTGACAAATTTTACCGTTGATATCCCTCATACAAGAATGGGGCTTAATCTGGTATGAATCAATTGTTTGCCATTCTACTTAGTCCCAAAGAACAATTCATAAGGCATTTGAAATTTACGAAACATCTGAAAAAGTTTTAAACTCCCTTTAAAATCTTTTATTAAAGATGATAAACTTATTTTTAAAAAGTCAACCCCGCATATTTTGTTGGCCTAATTTTGTTCTGATTTTGGGGGGTTTTTTTGAGACAGAATCTGTTGCCTGGGTTAGAGTGCAGGGGTGTCACCATAGCTCACTGTAATCACTACTAACTCCTGAGCTTAAGTGATTCTCCTGCCTTGTCCCTCCAAATAGCTGGGAGTACAGGCACGTAGCCCCACCTGATTTTTTTTTTTTTTTTTTTTTTGAGACAGAGTCTCACTTTGTTGCCAGGCTAGATGTAGGTGCCATGCGTCAGCCTGGCTCACAGCAATCTCAAACTCCTGGGCTCAAGTGATCCTTCTGCCTCAGCCTCCCAACTAGCTGGGACTACAGGCATTCGCCACCATGCCCGGCTAATATTTTTCTATATATATTAGTTGGCCAACTAATTTCTTTCTATTTATAGTAGAGACGGGGTCTCGTTCTTGCTCAGGTTGGTTTCGAACTCCTGAGCTCAAACGATCTGCCCACCTCGGCCTCCCAGAGAGCTAGGATTACAGGCGTGAGCCACTGCGCCCGGCCCCCACCTGATTTTTAATTGTAGACAAATAATACAAAAACCCAAAAGATAAAAAACATTTATTAGTAATGTAATAGATAGCACTGTATCCACAAAATGAAATATTATGTAAAAACTGGAAACAAGGAAGCAAATATATGGTAGAAACATATATATAAAGTATATTAAGTGAAGAATGGTAAGAATATATAGATCAGAACAGAATATGTAAAATCTTGCTTTTGTTTGTTAAAGAGTAAATCTCCACTGTTATTTTAATTCACACTCCTTTAAATATCACTGTGGCTATGCATCTTTTCATGTTTGTTGGGTACTTGTATTTCTTAGCCTGTACATCGCCTCTTCCTGTCTTTCTGCCCTTTTTTATTTGGTTACAGATATTTTTCCTATTGGTTAGCAGTTGGTCTATAGAAACCGGCTGTCATATCTGTTTCAAATATTCCTGCCCACCCGTCTATCATTTGTTTTGTGACTAGGTCCAGTATGTGCATGTGTGTTTATGTTTCTAATCATAAAAAGTTTAACATTTTTTTGTGGTCACATTTAGTTATCTTTTCTAAACTCTATGGTATTTGGATTTTGGATTATGTTTAATCAAACTTTCCTCACCACAAAATTAAAATATTCATCCAAGTTTTGGTTTGCTACCTTTATTTTATTTTTATATTTTAATCCTTCCTATCTCTCTGGATTTTTTTTTTCTTTTTTTTTTTTTAATGCAACAGACTGGCTTAATATCTCTGGATTTTATTTTGGGTAATGAAGGTAATTCAAGCTTTAGCTTTCTTTTTCTAAATGGCTATGCAAACATTCCAAAATAATTTACTTAATAGTTCATATTTTTTTCTTCAATGATACAAAATGTCTGACTAGAATGACAAAATTAATAATCAGGATATTTATTGCTTAGTACTAAAAACTAAAGGTTATCTTCTGAGATATACATATATACTTTTTGGGTTTTTTTTTTTTTTTGAGACAGGGTCTCTCATTGTACTTCCCGGCTAGAGTGCAATGGCATCACAATAGCATACTGCAACCTCAGACTCCTGGGCTCAAGCAATCCTTATGCCTCAGCCTCCCAAGTAGCTGGGAGTACAGGCATGTGCCACCATGCCCAGCTACTTTTACTTTCTTTATTTTTTGTGGAAACTGGGTCTCCCTCTTGCTCAAGCTGGTCTTGAACTCCTGGCCTCCAGCAATCCTCCTGCCTCAGCTTCCAACAGTGACAGGATTACGGGTATGAGCCACTCTGCCTAGCCTGTCTTTTGATATATTTTTAAATTAAGCAATGACAATATTTTAAAAGGAGAAAAACTAGGCTTTGAAAAAGGTAGTAGGAAGCACACTAAAATGTTTCAAGGAGGTTGTTTCCTGGTAGTGGCATTGTTGACAATTTAAGAAAAATTCTATTTTCCAAATTTTCTCTAATAAGCATCTTTTAGTGGCAGTAAAAAATAAAGCTTATATATGGAAAGCAAATTAAAGATTTTAAAATTAATAACTATGAAAAATATCAGTACATAAAATATACAACTATATAAAAATCTTTCCCATTAGATAACTGTTATATCCCATCTCTTCCACCAATATTGATGCAGTAACTCTACTAATAAAAAGAAATAGATTATAACTGTTGACTAGTACACCCTGCTTCTGATTTCATTTTAAAGACTGACAATATCAACACTGAAATCTGCATCAAGACAATCCTAAGCAAAATTTTCTCAAAGCATATTATCTTTTTAGTTTGAGAGATAATTTCATGTTGAGTGTTAGTGAGCCCCTGAGGGGATACTATGTTAATGAAAACATAAAAAATTAAAATTTAGCAGAATCAGAAAATGGGTACTTTAGAACAAAAAGAATACCCACAAAAGAATTATAATGGAACAAACTGCCTTTTCCAACCTCATGTCTCCAATGACTTGAAAGGATAAATGGGGGAAGGTATGAGTGAATTTGCATGTGTACTCTGTGTATTTATCAGACAGAATGCAAAACATTTTTAATAGTTTACCCTCATTTCTTGAATAACTGAGTTTTCTTCCTTCTCTTTACAAAACGGTGATGACATACCTAAATGACAGCCATAATTTTTACCTTTCATTTTACCATTAATATAAAGGGATTCATAAGACTTTCTAAATAGAGGCAAGAATAGTTAACAATAATTATCTTCCTACTTTGTAGAAATATTTTGATATCTTTAATAGCCTAAAGAAATCATCATATTATTCACTGCTTTTATGGGAGAAAAGGGAAAAGTAAAAACATTATCTCATTTCCTTCAAAGGTCACATTTTACCCATGAACCTTATGCCTCAACATAAATTCTAACCTGGAATTAAAAAACAAAATAAAGAAAGAGCAAGTGAAGTTAAAGAAAAATGAAAGAATGAAGTAATGAGGCTTCTTCTAAAGTGGAAACAAGCCATAAACTGAAATTCCAGGAACTTTCTGCAGAAATATTAACATATTTTCATTGAAAAATTAGCATAAATTCTTATGAAGACCAGTTCAGGAAAAAACAAAACACCAACCAAAAGGGGTAAAAAAGCCAGGCAGAAAAAATATTAAAATTTCACAATTTTCTTTTACCTGTTTTCATGAATCCTGGATGCTCAGCAATGTTTGAACTATTTAATAGCTTCACAGCTTTTCGATAATTGCCCCTTAAGTACTCAAAATTGCTTTTAAGAAACAGAGAAGGTGCTGACTGTAAAGAAAATATAAAAGTTACTTATAACTTTTTTCAGATGACTAATGGAAGATGGTATAATACTTATACTGTTGCAGCAGTGTGTATTTAAGAGCATAAATGAATCAATTATGTCATGGTCACGAAAACTGTATACAGTCTCTTAATTTTTCACTGTTCTTGCAATCTAAAAACTGAAACCTGTGATAGAGCATCTTGTAAAAAGAATTATTACAGGGCTACCTAAAAAATAAATACAACATATATATAAGAATATAGTCTGCAGATTATCAACTCACTGACTGCCTTCATCTATTACACTACTAAATGGAAGTCAACTTAACGAAACAAACTAGGTCCTTCTTTTTAATGGTTATTAGAAAGACTGATTATCTTCCATATTTTTAAAGATACAATTGCACTTTTCATTAGAACTCAAAGATAAATACTTTTCTTTTCTTTTTTTTTTTTTTTGAGACAGACTCTCACTTTCTTAGTTAGGCTAGAATGCCGTGGCATCAGCCTAGCTCACAGCAACCTCAAACTCCTGGGCTCAAGCAATTCTCCTGCCTCAGCCTCCCGAGTGGCTGGGACTACAGGCGCATGCCACCATGCCCGGCTAATTTTTTCTGTATATATTTTTTAGTTGTCCAGCTAATTTCTTTCTATATGTTTTATAGAAGAGACGGGGTCTCGCTCTTGCTCAGGCTGGTCTCGAACTCCTGAGCTCAAACCATCCTCCCACCTCAGCCTCCCAGAGTGCTAGGATTACAGGCGTGAGCCACCGCCCCCCGCCTGAATGGAAGAATATTCTAACAGAATGCCTTATTTGGGAGCACTAATCTTGCGGTTCCAAAGATGTTTTGGATTGTAGATAACCTTTCATTTCTCCTAAGAATCCTCATGGTGGAAGGGCCTCTAAACAGCAATACCTATTTTGAGTGCAAAAGCATGCAGAGATATAGAGACTAAACATCCATGCAGGAGGACATCTGGAATCCTTGTCTCATTATTAATCCACTGTAGCTTAGCCAACAGGCTTTCCTTCTAAATCCTAGTTCATCCTTTGCTCTGCCTCCCGTCCACCCCAGAGTTCTGGTCACTAGGGAAAAACAAGGGCTTTCGAGGCTTATTCTCAGTGGCAGCACTTCCTCCTGAAGTTTTTCTTGATTCAGGTGTGACTATTACACTGAATTGTAATTATTTTTGTTGTCTCTCCTCTATGACTATGGCCTCCTTTAAGACAAGGATTATGTCTTTTATCTCAAGAAAGGTTTGATAATGGCTGGATAGCTAATTAGGCCTTTCCCTCTTAGCCTCAGGTTTAAGCTACAATTCTCAGAAATCACAAGAGAACTAACCTAGTGGGTAATCTGGATCCTGCCTGAGATTTCTAACTGTATCTTCTTATGATTTCATACTTCTAAATTTACAGTTTTCCTAAAGCATCAAGATTTTTCACAATTTTGTTTCTTCTCTAGACTATCTTAAAAATTATTTATCAATGGAGGATTAGGGTGGAGGGAATGGAAGGATAGACTAATTATATCTCAAATACTCCAGTACTAGTCAAACTGAAGGTATTATCAAGCCAAATCATTTGGAAGAGGCAGGTTTTTGCTACAATTTGACTGTTTTTAACAGATGCTTTGAGTATAATACTAAAAAATTCTAAAATAATCTAAATGTCTAATATCAGCAAAATGTTTAAGTAAGCTGTGATAAACCACTCACAGAATACTAAGCAGCTATTTAAAATGGTGGTTTTGAAGGCTACATAAGGGAAAATTTTTGTTATAATGTTAAGTGAAAAAATGTACTAAACTATAGACACAGTATGATCACTAGTTCCCAATTCTATAAAACCAAAGTTCTCTATCTGGTTGTATGTATAATACACTAAAATAAATTATTTAAAACTGACAAATACCCAGTCTAAATAAGAAAGTCACAAATTGAAAAACAAGAGAAAAAGTCCAGAAGAAACTTACATTTCCAGCTGTGTTCATAACTGACTTGATTTCCCTTTTGCATGCTTTCAGAGATTTCATTTGGATATAAGCTCGTACTTTGTACTGTCAAAGAAAAAATGCTAGCATGTAAGAATCATGGTAGATTTACATGCACTAAAGTTTTTCTTTCTAGTTAAGAACATTTAACTCAACCTGTTTATAACATCATTATACTGGTTATTTGCCATAGCAAGTTTAAAATTATCTGAAATATTCTATTTTGACTGTATCTTGGAAGGTACTTTAAAAACTATTAATAAAACATGGTAGAATTGGCTGGTCTAATGGTAGTGGGTTATAAGAACTTAATAACATTAGTGTCACTCAAGTTGGTATTTGATCCCCCACTGCTAAATTTTTTTTTTTTTTTTGTAGACAGACTGAGGGATTAATAGGATTTTTCTGTAGCATTTATGTATACAGTCTTTACTCTTGACCAGTGTTTTTTTTCCTTTTTCTTTTTGTAACGGTCAGTCAATTGTAAACAGTGGGGATCAAAGTACCAGAATTGAGGTGACCTAATGTTAATTAAGTTCTTGAATAACCCTCCCATTATGTGTCAGTCAGTTGGTATTTGATCCCCCATGTTGGAATTGACTGCTTTAAAAAAAGAAAAAAAAAAAAACACTGGTGAGAGTAAAAACTTATAAGTAAAATTCTAAGAAAAAAATTTTTTTTTTCCTATTAATCTCATATGTTCATTATTTAATAACAATGATTTTTTAAATCGCACCAACTGATTTTTCACCATTGAAAATATCTAGGTAACATTTCGTTCCCTTTTATACAGTAATTTAAAAGAATTATATAACCATTATGTGTTAAGTAAACATATTCTAAACACGAATATCTCAAAGCCAGTGGCTATCATCGCCGTTCCTAATCTATTTACTGGTTTCGCAGTGACTTATTTCACATGCTATTCTGCATAAGCCACCAGTAAATATATGTGATGTATGATGGTATAATCTCCCTTTATATTTATATACCTGATTATCTTTGATTTTTTGCAGTTCCGTATTAGAGCTCCACTTCAGCTTTAGAGTGTAGATCCATCTGTTGGCTGTTATTTACCCAGTCTGTAGCAGGGTGAATGGAAAGAAAGCGTTTACCAATTACAGGTAGTTTGTTTTCCGTAATATAATTCGATGAGGCTAATCTAAACTCATCGTAGAGAGGCATTTTCAAGAATGCAGGAAAATCCGCTGGTCACCTATCCAGGAGAATTGTAGGTTCAGCGTTGGATTGGTGAGTGAAGGCAGTGCAGAAATAGCTTATAGAATCTCAGCAGTTTGACGGCATAACAGTATGAGCTTGTTTTAAAAGCAGTGGATATTTACTTGGTGCAAAACTCAGATTATCTTCTATAACTTCAGAAAAAGATATATTACTCTTCTTAAAATCATCCTGTTATAGAACACTGCCAAAGAACCAATCAAAATCCCTATCTTAAACGTAGCTTCCAGTTTTCAAAGCCCCTAAATCACATAATTTAAATTCCTCTGAAACATTCCCTAACCGTCTTCGTTCCCCCTAGTTCTGTGGAACAGCGGATACTGGGTCATCTAAGCCCAGACTCAAATACTTGAAAGCGCAAGACTGTAATGGTTTTCATTTTTTCACCTTGGGACGCTGGAGCAGAGTACTTGAAAGCGGTTAGAGCATGCCAAGCATCTGCTGATAATTTATATTTCTCAACAGGGGTATTTTAAGTACTGGTATAAATGAAATATTTTACCTGCATTTAGAAATAAAGCTAAGGTATTCAAACGTGACAATCGGCTTATTCATACTATGTAAGATACTTAAGTTTGAGAAAAGTA